ATTAAAACAAACATGACATTGATTCAAATTATAAAAGCAAAGCCATAAAATAAAGAAAAATATATATCCTACCACTGTTGCATTGCTCATCATGATTGCGGTATCCAACAGTGCTTTAAATAAATCATCTTGGTACTTTCCAATTTAACAATGAATATTTGCGCCTTTACATGTTTTGCAATGGTAATGTTATAATGCTAATAATTTTAGAAACACAATTTGGTTTCATTAATTACGGTTATATAAATATATAACATCAGATAAAAGCGTTCTTAGTAAAGCAATCTCAAACAGAACAAACATTCCTGGAAAACAAAGTTCAAAGCTGCCGTAGACAGTCAAGTGTGATATATAATTCAAGCAGAGTATTGATTACAGGTGATAATTTGACGTTAGTGTCCATGTGATATGTATGTATTCACTTAAGTTTATAACTATTGGTTTTAATTAAAATAACGATTTTAGATTATATTGGGTTAAAATCTATATCAAAACTGTACATTACAGGGACTTGCAAGCGCGATTGGTGTCGGAAGACAGAAAACAAAATTCTATGCATTTTTGCTTCTTTTTTTTTTCTTTTTTTGGAATTCATGATTTTTGATCACCTGACCAGAATTATCTACCTTCTGTTAGGCAAATAGCTTCCTGAAATGAAATTATACCAGTATACATGGTGGAATATGACGAGATAGATATTAAAAGTAACCTGACACAGAATCCAACATGCATTGTTAATAGCATATTTGTAGTGTTAATGAGGATATTAAAAAAAGATAAGAATCCTAATAATTATGATAACAAGTCAGTAATATAAACGTTAAAAGCGACGTATTTATTAGGAAATTATTTGCTCAGCAGATATTTGAAATATTTCAATGTCCCATTTCAACAAATCGTGTCGCATTCAATTTGCCAAGTTATCTCTTTGGAACTATACAGTGTGTTGGCTTTTCAAATCAAATCGACTGAAGGAACTTCTAAGATAAAGAGCCGTCTACCTGTGACATCTTTATCGATTGACTGTCTCTACAGAAAATATCTTTTCTTCAAAAGTACGGTCTAGTTGTTTTCTTTTGCTTTCTTTAATAATGTTTAATGAATAGCAAACCTTAGAAAATCTTGTTTTATGAAGCTACGAATGATCGATATAATCACACAATTATTTCTAGTCAAAGTAGAATCAATAAATCACTCAACTTATGTTAAAAAAAACTTATCTGTTGTTCAATATTGCACCTAGTAAGGTGAAAATTAGATCTGCGATCCGATCCAACCGTAATGCAGTATTGGTTGGAAACCAAAGTGCTTCACAAGTATTTCCAGACTTTTGAATGTTTGGTTTTGAATACAATATAGCTTGGGAATGCCTGTAGAAATAACGAGCAAATACTCACAAAAAATCATTTTTAAACTTCTTCTAAGAAATGTTGTTTATATTTAATGCCTAGATATTGCTACAATCTGACAGTTAATCCAAACAAACAAAAGTATTGTTATGATAATATGAATTAATATATTTACTATTCACAGGGCGAACGGTCAGTCTCCAACAAGTGATGTTCGTTAATTTACATTATTTTGGCACATGAAAATGTGATCGAGGTCGCGGTTGAAAATTTGAAATAATTTATTGGTCATTTTAAATAAATTATAAAAGATAACAATTCGAATTTATTTGCAAGTATAAAGCAACAATTGAAGAAGCAGATCACAATTTGATGAACACCCCCACTGAAATCCCTGCACCAACACTATAACACTGTTAAAAATTTGAAATAATTTATTGGTGATTTTAAATTGATAATAAAAGAAAATTATGCGATATTTTATATAAAAAAGAGGATATTGAATGAGTGTAAGTTCAATACTGAATTTATTGCATGAGTTGAATAAAATTATATTTTACAAGCCTCTGGCCGTTTAAAGTGAAATAACAGTCATGTTTCATTGACGCGCCTATAGTAAAACGCTAACATTTAGCGCATTTGTACAGGAGTCGCAAAATCGGCACGGGTGTGTGATAAAGTATAAAACAACATTTAAGAAACAGATTGCAATTTGATTCTAGAACATCCTCACTGTAATGGCTTCGTATAAATGGCTTTGGGTATTTATGAATCTATTAAACTTATATTGTTCATGTTAAACATCGATGTCAAACTTTTTAACCCAGTTGCTTAATAATGTTCAAGGTTGAACATATATTACTACGTTTTCTAAAAGAAGAAAGACATATTGATCAATCGATGAGGTAAAGACTTCTAAAATATTTACGTGTTCAATACATCAAAGGTTTGCGTCAAAGAAATATTTCCTGAGGTACATTGACAAGTCATAAATGGAAACGAATGTTATTTTGTTGCGAAAAAGAAAGAAAGAAAACAACTTGTGCATGTTTTCTGCACTCTGACTATACAGTAGATTAATATTAAATTATTCTTATATATCGGTTCTTATTCTGTTACAAAAATGAATATTGATTTGTGCAAAGTTTCTGCAGCACACATTAAGCATCAGAATGTTTACACGACAAGTACCGGAAGTTTCCTTAAGGTTACTTTTGAATTTGTAAAATTCACGACCCAACATTGCAAATCTTAGGGCACTCGTAAAACTTCAATATTGTAACACAAGAAGAACCGGTAGTTTCCTGAAAGTTGCCCTTCAATTTGCTGTAAAGCAATTCTTCCTGGTAATGCCCGTGGTAAATATTCGTTGATGTACTATATTCTTGAATAATTGAAACAAAATTGTATCAAATGAAATATAACATTTGATTAAATATGAAGATCATCCTTTTGAAATACTTTTGATATTTTTATTTAAAACAAAATCGATTCGTTTTTTATTTTCTAGAGCAATTGTTACCATTTATTCTAGTAACATCTCTAAGTCAAACTGTATAAATGAGAACTATGATGGTTGAGTTAAATTAATTTATTAATTTCTAATATGACACTTTCCTCAGGCGTAGAAAAAGTCTACAACATTCAGTGTAGTGAGGCATCTAATGTTAATTAAGACTTTATATTTTATTTAGTTTGAAACTGCATAATAAGAACGAAAATATATTTCAGAAAGCTGGAAAAAAGTAAGACAAAAAAACTAATGGTTTCAAAAAAATATTTTTGTTTTGAATACCAGCATCTTTCTTTATTTATATTGTCAAGGCATTAACCATAGATCTAGCTATTGCATTCTTCCAGCATTTGCACTAGCTTGAGAAGTTCGTCAGTTGCAATGTCGTTTATCAGAAAATATCAATTTTCTTCAAGACACATTTTGGCATAATTGATTATGCTCTGGTCGATAGTGTATCATGTCTTAAATTTCAATCGACGTCACGTTTTGTTAACGTGTGATCTGTCGTCACTACTACATCCCAATAATGACAAAACGTATCTGTAAGCGTTTCACTTAATGTTTAGAAAAAGAAAACACTGTATTTCCAATTCATACGCCGTAAAGGGTTCGCAATTTTGCTTTTATTTATTAGGTTTTTTCTCACTCTTCTCTTTATTATAAAATATATACTTGTGCATCACATTTTCTTCTGTCCATATGTTAGTCTCGTCTATAGCTATTAGGTCTGTTTTGTACAATCCCGTTTCAGTGATTTTTGTCCGTTTATTTGCGATTGCAAGTCTTTTATATCTCTGTTTTATATTTTGTCTGTTATATGCGTGGTAAACAATCATACCCTCTATACATTTCTATGATCGACAATGTGTTTGACAGGTAATCATCAACATTTAACACGTCTATCATGATTTTTTCTTCGAGTCCTGTATGTAGTTTTTGGTTCTTATTGTCTGCTTACTTTTTATTTTGCAAAGTAATAAATATTCCCCTATAACATTCCACCTTTAAAAAATTTTTATGTCTCTGGTTTGATCGACTTCAACAAAAAAATTTCCCTATCCTGTTCAAACCCCAGTTTATAGTCCGATGAAATTAATTTTTTACAAATTATCTTACGGGCAACCCTTTTCCATTTAGTATTTTTCCCAAATGTAAATAAAAAAATGGTTATCTCGCAAATGAAGTGACACACATATAAGTTACATACATGTACATCATGTACATATTTATCGTCATTCACGGATATAGACTTCCAAGAAAATCCGAAATAAAAGGTATACATAAATTGATAGTAAATCAATGATAAGTCAATAAATCAATGATCAATGCCAAAAGCTAAAGCATTTGAACATATAGACCAATATTTAAACTTCAAAATAAGTTGTTGTTGTTGTTTATATCGCCCATTCTACGAGTAACATAATTATTCAATTCATTTGAACATCAATAAATAAAAAGAAAACATAAATGATTCAACAACTACACATACCTGTGCTCTGTAACATGTTTTATTGTGGTAATTCTATTTAATTAAAAAATGTATGCAGATAAAGAGCAGCATATTTATCAATTTATCAAAGAATGTAAATAAAACGCCTCCGATTCAGTATTCCACACAATAAGACATAAAAGATAACCGTTAATAATTTATAACCTCGGCCAATCTTTCCAAAGATTAGTATCTCATTATCACTGCATAATTTACTTTTAATCATTTCTACCTGTAAATAGAAATATTCTTCATTGACTGTAATCCAATTTATAATTAATATCATTATCTGATATCTCGAGATTTATAGACAGATGTCGTGTCTAAAGTCCTTGAAAAAATGTGGCTGATGCTTGCATTAATTTTAATAAATACAATTGAGCTAACTTTAAAATTGTTGTTTGAATGTATTTTATATATCGATTGTAGTAAATAAATTACACTACTTTAATCTTAACCATTTTTTCACCTTCATGTTGAGTTGTTATAACAAACCTGTGAAAGATTTTTAGTGTCTAAACCCATATGAAAAAAAAACAACAAAAAACAACCGGATAACTTAAGAACGCCCGAAACGACAAAATGTAGCAATGTGCTCTTTGCTGTTACTAATATATACACATATCTCAGCATTTTGTGTTTTTTCACACTTTTGAGTGTAACTTATATGGTAAGTTTGTGAGCATATTCTTTCTCCGAACATACACACTGATATATGTAGAGATTGATATCATCATTATTTTCGCCAGGTCCAGACTCACATCCATGTGCTAGCTGGTACTTGTTTTTCTTCATCCGACGGCAAGGACATTTCATTGTTTACATGATCAATTTTCAAAACATCAATTTTATTTTCATCTTTGGAAGTATTATGTCGTCGTGTTTTAGCTTTGGTCATTGGCATACTGACGTCAGTGTAATATGGATTTAATGATATATGATTCTGATTATCATAATATTTAGAGTTTTCAGGATCAGCCGCCTCGTCATTATATAGAAAAAGAGAAGGCTCACTGCATCTCCTTAGCTCACTGTAGAACAAAGATGTATGTATACTTTCCTCATCTAGAGATGTTGCGCTTTTCTTAAAAGTATCACTTAATAAACCACGTTTATTTTTCTTACGTTTCAGTGTTTTTAAAAACGGTTTCTTTTTCAACATCATGGAAAGGTCGTTGTTTATGTCCGCACAATGCTTTACCATTGAGTGTCCTTGAGAAACAGTATTTTGCTGATTCTGTCGGATAGGTTTATTATTCCAATATGTCTGTGGGACAGTGTGATGTTCGAAATCAACGGTATCTTTTCTCTTAGCAGTTTTAATGTTTTCAATTGTATCTACTCTTTCTTTGTCGGACTGTTTAAATATGACATCTGCAAGCACATCTGCGAGTAATACCTGTTTCCTTGCTACTATAGATTGACAGTATATATCATGGTCGTTCTTTTCTAAAGTATCATCTTGACTTTTCTCAGCCCAATCAGCGTAAGATATCTTCGGTTTATTTTCGTTGTCATTTCCGCTATCAATTATGAAAGACTGAGCATCGTCTTCTTCTCCTAAACCTTCGTTGTAATTTTCTGAATCGGCAGTCATAAACGACGAATCTACGCTATGTGTGTTCGTTAGAATTGACCTGAAAAAAGTAAACGATGTGAAACTTTTAGTTTTATTCTGTTATGATGTGTAAATGAAAAGTAGTCCGCGTCATTGAACGTCTGTTAAATATCGATCTTTAAGCGTTATTTAGAAATCATTTAGTATTAGTTTTCAGTCACTTAAAGTACTTGTAAATAACTGGGTTGCTATCAAGGCAATCCGGACCGAGCTGTACCGACTGCTGAGATATGTCCAAACAACGTTACGATCGGCGTAAAAATCAATCAGTTAAACAAAAAAAAAAAAAAAAAAAAAAAAAGAACGTCCGATAATCAAAAATATTTCCATTTCTTACCTAGCTCTTGTAATCTTCTTATCAAACATGTCTAAGTCAGGTCGCAAAAATCTGAAAAATCTGTTATATTCTGCTTCCTTCTTCCTTCTCACCATCAGACGCCGGTGATAGAACGCAAACGACACTGCCAGGAATAGAAGTAATCCGAGTGCAGTGATGGTTGAAAATAACCAGCCAAATGACGGCTTGGCTCTACCGTCATCCGTGCTACCAGTCATCTGCATCGACAAGAAAGAAAAATAATAAAGATATCAAGTAATTTACAGCTCACGGTAAGAGAATCGGGCTATACAGTAACTGAACTAAATAAATAAACACACTGAATATAAATCATTTGCTATTTATTAACAATAAAATGTATAAAATATACCGGTACTAAAAAATAAAAGGTTTTTTGTAAAATACTTTATGAACCCATTTTAATTCTTTTAACGACAAAGAATGTACCGGGAGAACTAACTCTGCTGTGCTTTTATTGTAAATCAATTTGATGCAGAGTAAAATTATCTTATAACAAGTATTTGATCAAACCAATGTTTTAATCAATAATCAATGAATACATAAATCTGCCATTATCTGTTTTGAAACGACTGTTTGGAACAAAAATGCGATTGTTTCGCATATATAGTTGGTCATATATGTTGATTAGAATTGCTCTTCAATACTTTGAATGTTAGAGTCGTCAGCTAAAAGAAATGCGGCATTTTATAAACGAAATACGTAGTGAGTGGCCCTTACTGTCTAGAAAACAGTGCGGAAATATATTTTCTATCGTCATTTTTTCACTTTGTTTTTTCATGGAATATTTATTACATTGAAGCCGCATTACAAATTATAAGGTTCATACTCATCTCTATAATAAGGGTTACTAACGTCTGAATCTAATATTATAAGTGGTTATTGTACATTGTTTAGTATAATACTGAATTCTATTGGACGTGTACACAGCTGTCAAGCATATAAGTGCTAGACGAGTCTGATAAAGATGTTGCAATTGTGTACGAGTTCAATTGAATCATTATTTTTTTAGGCCATGCTAAATGACTTCTTTATTTTACACCACCATTTTCGTCATTATGACAAAACTTTGTTGTTCAGTTACAATAAGTATTTAATATAAATTTTTGACTGTCAGAAAGAAAATTAAAACGAGGCTAGATGGGATGCAATACATGTATGTATTTGATATGAAACTTTTTGAGCCTGGAAATGAAAACTATGCTACATGGGGTGTGAGATGGATTTGAGACTCAGGAAATGAAAACGAGGCTAGATTGATAAGATGTGGTCCCATAATGATTTCTATCGGAAAACCAAGAAGTGCAAAGGCTGTAAATGCGTTAGTTATATTTTTAGGGTATGAAATAAACATTGCTATTTAATTACTGTTAAATCTTTTAACGACTTTGTTAACATTGGTCTTGGTTATAATTCGGTAGATAAATTATAAATCGTTTCTACCGTTCAAGCAATTTGAAACCCAATAATTTCTACAAAAGGTGATTTCTTTCTTAAACTTTAATGAAAACATATTAAACGCTTGTATTTTATTTTTAGCTTTTGAAATTTAATAATTTTGATAAAAATAATCGATAATGATAATCATCATGAAAATAATACATGTAGTTAAACTTATCCATGTATAAAAAATAAATATATAAATAAAAAGATTATAATAATACTTATGATAATAATTATCAATATCAAAATACAAGATTCTTATTTCATGCTTTCCAGTGTTTTATTGTAATATATCAGATGATTATATTCTGATAAACCACTAGTGAAATTTATAAAATATAATTTTCACTATAGTCGGACTATATCTGAATGCGGATGAAAAGAATATCATAACTAAATGGAATAACAGGCAGAAATAAATGCCGTCATACGTAAATTTTGCTTCTTTATGAAAAGAAAGTCGATGTCACCATACATCATGTTAAAAATGTAACAGAATTAGTGAAAATTAACAGAACTTTATTTCATGTTTTCCAGTGTTTTATTGTAATATATCAGATGATTATAAAATGATAAACCACTAGTGAAATTTATAAAATATAATTTTCACTGTAGCCGGACTATATCTGAATGCGGATGAAAAGAAAATCATAACTAAATGGAATAACAGGCAGAAATAAATGCCGTCATGCGTAAATTTTACTTCTTTAGGAAAAGAAAGTCGATGTCACTATACATCATGTTGAAAATGTAACAAAATTAGAGAAATAAAACAGAACTATATTTCAAAATTGATGATGTGACATCATGATATAATGACGTCACAAAGGAGAATGCGCGACGTTACGCGGCAAAATCAGTAAATTATTTAAAGTCACTTAAAACGCATGAAATAAAAAGAAAATTTATTTGTTTTACATATAAGATTGAAATATATTTCATTCGTGAACACCAGCTATTATATTTTCACTCGTGGCTACGCCACTCGTGAAAATATTGCATCTGGTGTTCACTCAGTGAAATTATATTTCGATCTTACATGCAAAACAAACAAATATCCTCTATATATTTCAAAATTGATGATGTGGCGTCATGATGTGATGACGTCACAAAGGAGAATGCGTGACGTTACGCGGCAAAATCCGTAAAAAAATATTTAAAATCACTTAAAAAGCATGAAATAAAAAGAAAATTTATTTGTTTTACATATAATATTGAAATATATTTCATTCGTGAACACCAGCTTTTATATTTTCACTCGAGGCTACGCCACTCGTGAAAATATTGAATCTGGTGTTCACTCAGTGAAATTATATTTCAATCTTACATGAAAAACAAACAAATATCCTCTATATATTAATCGCAATTTTTAACTTAATATTGTCATTGACATTTTTATATGATTGTATAAAATTGATAGAATTTATAAGGGTCTTTGCATCAGCAAAAAAATACCATATTCTCCCGATATCCTTGTATAACAATTATTAGATCTTCAAATTATAGCCAAAAGCCTTGACGTTGCACAATCTTCAATAATATTAAAACACACATGACATTGATTCAAACTATGAAAGCAAATCCATAAAAAAAAATATATATATATATCCTACCACTGTTGCATTGCTCATCATGATTGCGGTATCCAACAATGATCCATATAAATCATTTTGGTACTTTCCAATTTAACAATGAATACGTGCGCCTTTACATGTTTTGCAATGGTAATGTCTAAATGCTAATAATTTTAGAAACACGATTTTTTTCATTAATTACGGTTATGAAAAATATATAACAGCAGATAAAAGCGTTCTTAGTAAAGCAATCTCAAACAGAACAAGCAGTCCTGGAAACAAAGTTCAAAGCTGCCGTAGACAGTCAAGTGTGATATATAATTCAAGCAGAGTATCGATTACAGGTGATAATTTGACGTAAATGTCCATGTGATATGTATGTATTCACTTAAGTTAATAACTATTGGTTTTCATTTAAATAACGATTTTAGATTTAATTGGGTTATAAATTAAATAAAAACAGTACATTACAGGGACTTGCAACCTCGATTGGTGTCGGAAGACAGAAAACGAAATTCCGTGCATTTTCTTCTTCCTAATTTTGTAATTTATAATTTTTTGACCACCTGACCAGAATCAACTACTTTCTGTTAAGCTGATATATTCCTGAAATGAAATTAAACCAATAGAAATGATGAAATATGACGAGATAGAGATTTAAAAAAAAAACCTGACACGGAATCCAACATGCATTGTTAATAGCATTTTTGTAGTGTTAATGAGGATATTAAAAAAGATAGACTCCTAATAATTATCATAACAAGTCGTTTAAAGCGATGTATTTATTAGAAAATTAATTGCTGTACAGATATTTGAAATATTTCAATGTCCTATTTCAACAAATCGTGTTGCATTCAATTTGCCAAGTTATCTCTTTGGAACTATACAGTGTGTTGGCTTTTCAAAGCAAATCGACTGACGAAACTTTAAGGATTCTGTATTTATCTATATTCTAAGATAAGAGCCGTCTACCTGCGACATCTTTATCGATTGACCGTCTCTACAGTTATAATCTTTTCTTCAAAAGTACGGTCTAGCTGCGTTCTTTTGCTTTCCTTTCATAAAGCTTCATGAATAGCATACCTTAGAAAATCTTGGTTTTATGAAGCTTCGAATGATCGATATAATCACACAATTATTTCTAGTCAAATTAGAATCAATAAATCACTCAACTTATGTTGACAAAGCTTATCTGTTGTTCAATATTGCATCTACTCCAGTATTTAGGTAAGGAGAAAATTAGATCTGCGATCCGATCCAACCGTACTGCAGTATTGGTTGGAAACCAAAGTGCTTCACAAGTATTTCTAGACTTTTGAATGTTTGGTTTTGAATACAATATAGCTTGGGAATGCCTGTAGAAATAACGAGCAAATACTCACAAAAAATCATTTTTAAACTTATTGTAAGAAATGTTGTTTATATTAAATGCCTAGTTATTGCTACAATCTGACACTTAATCCAAACAAATAAAAGCATTGTTATGATTATATGAATTAACATATTTACTTTTCATAGGGCGAACGGTCAGTCTCCAAAATAAGTGATGTTCGTTCATTTACATTATTTTGGCACATCAAAATGTGATCGAGGTCGCGGTTGAAAATTTGAAATAATTTATTGGTAATTTTAAATAAATTATAAAAGATAACAAAGCAACTTTATTTGCAAGTATAAAGCAAAAATTAAAGAAGCAGATTACAATTTGATGAACACCCCCACCGAAATCCCTTCACCAACACTATGACACGGTTAAAAATTTGAAATAATTTATTTGTGATTTTAAATTGATAGTAAATGATTATGATGCGATATTTTATAAAATATAAATCAACATTTAAGAAACAAATTGCAATTTGATTCAAGAACATCCTCACTGAAATCCCTTCGTGTAAAGGGCTTTGGATATTTATGAATCTATTAAACTTATATTGTTTATGTTAAACATTGATGTCAAACTTTTTAACCCAGTTGCTTAACAATGTTCAAGATTGAACATATATTACTACGTTTTCTAAAAGAAGAAAGACATATTGATCAATCGATGAGGTAAAAGCTTCTAAAATATTTACGTGTTCAATACATCAAAGGCTTGCGTCAAAGAAATATTTCCTGAGATACATTGACAAAGTCATAAATGGAAACGAATGTTATTTTGTTGCGAAAAAAGAAAGACAGAAAACAACTTGTGCATGTTTTCTGCACTCTGACTATATAGTAGATCAATATTAAATTAAAATTATATATCGGTTCTTATTCTGTTACAATAATGAATATTGAATCGTGCACTATCTCCAGTACCCGTAAAGTTTCAACATTGTAACACGAGACGTACCGGAAGTTCCTGAAGGTTACCCTTGAATTTGTAAAGAGTGCCCTTAAAATTCTTTCCGCTAATGCCCGTGACAAATAACCGTTGGTGTTCTATACTCTTGAGTAATTTAAACACGATTTTATTAAATGAAATATAATATTTAATTAAATTAGGAGATCATATTTTTGATATACTTGATTAATGTTTTTATTTAAAATAAAATTGATTCTTTTTTATTCACTAGAGCAATTGCTACCATTTATTCTAGTATCATCTGTAATTCAAACTGTATAAATGAGAACTATGATGGTTTATTCAATTAATTTCTAATATGACACTTTCCTCAGGCGTAGCAAAATCTTCAACATTAAGCGAAATGAGGCATCTAATGTAAATTAAGACATTAGATTTAATTAAGTTTGAAACTGTATAATAAGAACGAAAAGATATTTTAGACAGCTGAATATAAATGTAAGACAGAAAAGCTAATGTTGTTTTTGTTTTTAATTTAAATTTTAAAATGTATAAGAAAAAGGAAAAGAGCGTATGATAAAGCTAAAGAAAATCAAATAATGTAGAACACTTGAATAAATATAAAACATTAAGAAACAAAACAACTCACTTACTTAGAAATGCTAACTCTGAATATACTAAGAAATTGTCGGAAAAAAAATGAAAAATAAAAATCTAAACACATCTGATTACTGGAAAATCCTCAAACAATTTATTAGGTCTGCAGTAAATAGTAATGTTAAAATATTAAATGATAATGGCAACTTGTTGACATCTGACACTGAAAAGGCAAACTTACTTAATATGTTTTTCCAATTGCAATCCTCACTTGATGATAAGAATAAACATGTCTCTAACTCTAATATTAATCATAATAATAATAACAATAATAGTAACCTTGATATAATACATATTGTTACGCTCTAGTAGTTGAGAGTCTCTTTGCACCTGGTCTTCTTTGTTGCATATGGTAATTCTAGGCTAGAAGTTGTCGACTGGAGTTCAAAAGTTTGCTGCACTCTTGTTGAAACCAGTATATCAAGACAGTATAGTTTTGGTAGCTTTCTAAGGCCTGTTATTTATGGACCAGGTACTACTTATCAGAACTTTGCTAGAGTTCTGGGCTTCACCAAATGTTTGAGTTATAATAAGAAGAACAAATAAGTCTGTTTCAATTTTGACGTTTCACTTGAATTTATTTATCAAGTATATAGAAATTTAGTATATTTCAACAGTTAATAATTAGACTTGAATAACATTAAATAAATAAATGAGATCAAAACATGTATGCATCAATGTTTGCATTAGCAATATACAGTAAATCAATTCTTACAATTGCTATTATTTCTCTAAAAATGCACGAGATGATACGGTATCCAGAAAAATACACGAGTCTTTAATTTAAGACTGACAGATTCGCCGAATTGAGATACCAGTTGAACTAAGCATAAAAAAATCTATATCAAGTACTACATGTAATTCTTTGTTATATAATAAACAAGAATAAAAACTCTATATAATGTGTAAATTTAACTTTTCTGAACAATTTAGAATGACTGTTGTAAAGTTATCACTTATGAAAAATATTTATCTTCAAAAATCTAGAGCGCACCTTAAGTTTAAAATACTGACGAAAACGTCCGTAAGTTCGGAGCAAGAAAAAAATGTGTGAAGCCAAGATTACTTGTGAGCAGGGTTTAAATACTAGCAGAGCTCACAGCTCACAATGTGTGATGTGGGGCTCACAGTTCACATGTCTGTGATGTGAGACTCACTGCCCACCAGTGTGAGATGTGCGGCTCACAGCTCACAACTGTGTATTGTGTACAAAGTGCAAGGTGCTCTTAATAATAAAAATCATCAATATCTTACTTAAAAATATAAGGAAAAATACATAATTCATATATAAATCACTCATTTACCTCTTTCTTGAATTAAACATCATTCTTCGTAAAAATACGCTAGTTTAAACAATAATAAACAAGATTTCAAATAGCCCGCCTCTGACTGTTGCTAGTAGCAACTTCTCACAGTCAATTCCAAGATGGCGGATCTGCACAATACAGAACGAGGTCAAATATAAAATATTAAAATGTGAAGGATTTAACAAGTTTCTAGAAAAGTTATCTTGCAGAAACATTCATAAACACGGATTAATTTGATATGCAACGTAAATAGTGACTTATAAGAGGGATTATTCAAATTACATGGAAAGATAAACAAGTCGTGAAAACACATGACACAACAGATTCTGGCATGGAAAACATATAGGGATTTCACTTCTTACAGACTAGAATAAAATCTGGCATGATACGTGACATTGATCTGATGTCTTGTGAAAATTTACTAAGACACCAGTCAACTAATGTGCTATTGCCAGTAAAAGCTTCAAAAACGAAAGTAGGATCAATGAATGACAGAAAGTAAAAATGAACAAATGAAGTAAACAGGTAAACTTTTCTAGATCATTACAATATTACATATGAAGAGGTTCAGGACACTCTAAAAACACTAAGTGTAGGCAAAGCATCAGGGCCTGATAATATTAATAATAGAATTCTAAAGGAACTGTCAGGAGAACTTGCTGTACCTCTTTGTCGTCTATCTAATAAATCAATAAGAACTTCAAAAGTCCCGTCACAATGGAAGCTTGCCAACGTCTGTGCAGTATATAAGAAAGGAGACCCAACAATTGTTTCTAACTATTGACCAATATCACTCCTAAGCACAGTTAGTAAAACTTTAGAAAAAAATATACATACTGGCATGCGAGCAGTTCCCGTACAAAAATCGTAGTGACTTAAACATTATTTTTTATTACGCTCACTCACCACAATTTGAATGTTACACATCAATATTCAGCTCGTCACACAAATAATGGAAATTCCATGATGTTCTAAACATAGAACAACCCTTAGTTATGAGGCCTC